CGCGTGAGCGCGATTTTTTTATCAAACGCTCTATATGGCCTGAAACGTATGCAAAAAAAATTTGGGATGATTTAGAGCATTTTAAATTTTTGCGCGCGCGTAAACGCGCGCATTTGCGCAAGTTTATTGACCTGAAATTGACTGGACGGATATTGATCTTAATCCTGATAATTATGAATGAGAAATACTTTTCCGTTATGAAGATCTGATCATTAGTTGATTTTCACAAAATGGCGCCTGGATGACGTCACGATAATTTTGACTCTCTGGAAAGTCACACAGTTTTAAGTTAGACTAAGATCTATCTTCATTGAAAGTTTCATGATAATGGCTTTATTCAGTCTTGAGATATCCTGCGAACAAATTCGAGGAAGAATAAAAAGAAATAATAACTAGATTTGTAATACTTGTTTGGAACAAGTATAGGTGGGCTGATCCAAAAAAAAATTGAGACAAAATGAAGGGTACATTTGAGATAGCTTTTTGTCTCAGCTACAACATACTCGAAGTTCAGCGTAAATGAGGCTAAAACGACGTAGATATTGCTCGCGAAAGACGGGAATGTAGAATCAAGTTTTGAGAAAAAGTCATGTCCCATAGAGAATACACGCAAAATGTGCAAAATTGACATGCCTCCTTTAATCGCAAAAAATACGCCATGATGCCCTTGTCATAATGAAAAATCGTGACGACTAGATTTGTAGAGAATTGTCTCAGCTAGAAGATATCAAAATTTTGAAGAAAATTGATCAATTTTTTACAAAGATACAATCAATTTTCCAAAAATATGCTGACGTCATAATATGCAAATTGAAATTTTGAGTTCGGAGGCCATTATGATGACGTTATGAGTTAATTGAGGGTCAAATGAGACATGAAATTATATCTCCGATTCATACTCAATCAAAATATGAAAAAAATTGGGGTCACCTTGCATCCTAAAGAGCTACAATAGATTTTGCATAGGCATGTTTTTGCCCATATATGCTATGTATTACAAGAGCTCGCGCGCACGGAAATTTATGTTTAACGGTCGATTATTCCGTCATTAATAGTCATAAAGAGATAAACATGTTATCAATTTGTTTGTAAAAATATGTGGAATATTATGAAAGAAAAAAAATGGCGATTCTATGTTGTGCAATAGTCTGACGCGCGAAAACGCGCAGGCATGCGCGTATGCGCGTGTGCGCGATTTTTTTATAAAATGCTTAGAATGGCCTAAAACGTATGCAAAATGATTTTGAGACGATTTTGAGTATTTCAACATTTTACGCGCACATTGACGCGCGGACGTACGCACACGCGCGCGTTATGTGACCTGCAATTGACCGGACGGATATTGACCTTGATCATGATAAATATGATAGAGAAATACCTTTTGGTTATGAAGAAATGATCATGAGTTGATTTTCGTAAAATTTTACAAAATGGCGCCTAAATGACGTCATCAGTCAAGGTCAAGGTTGAACAAATTTCTGTGCTTTGTACATATGCCTATACATATGTGTGCCAAATTTCAAGGCATTTGATTGAGTAATTTCCAAGTTATCTTGCCAACAAAAAAGTGGTTAGAAATAAGAAAAATATTTAATAATAATAATAAATAAAGGCAATTCTAACGAAATTATAAGGTGGTCTGTACGTTATACAGCCCACCTGATAAAGAAAATCTTGACGAAATCAATAGGTGATACGTAGACTTCGTTACGTATCACCTAAAGAAATATAACATATTAAAAGCACACAACAATACATTAATTAAAATAAGCAAAGTACAAACACTTCAACTACCTATAAGACAAGAGAAAGTAAAATAGGGAGAAGAAAAACAATATATAAGGGGGGAAAAGAAAGGAAAGGAAAACAAGATAACAATGAAAGAGGGTTCAGATATAAAATTAGAAAAAAGGGGGAAAAAAATCAACAACTGTGCTGATCAATAATTATTTAGTAGTAAGATTTTATATTGTTTTCTAAAGGAAGATATGAATTGTGATTTCGTTATTACTTGGGGAATCATATTCCACTGTTTAGGACCTAGATAACTCATTGATTTAGCTTCATAACTAGACTTAACAGACCATAAATGAAATTTGTTGGAAAGCCGTGTATTATAATTATGAATTTGACTATTATATTGAAAGAGGTCTGAAAAGGGGGCAGGTAACAACTTGTTTTTATATTTGTACATGAATGTTGCGATTTCTTGCTTATTTATATCATATATATTTAATAACGATAGCTTCTTAAACAAAGGTGCGGAAGGTGCTAGATAATGAGAATTGGTAGCTATTCTTAAACATTTCTTTTGAACTTTAAATAGTGAGTCTAATTCAGTTTGTGTTGCATTAGTGGCCCATACAATATTACAATATTTCAAATAAGGGAAAATAATGGAATGATATAAAGTTATCAAATTTTCGGGTAACAAACTATATTTTAGCTTATTTATCAAGCCAGCATTTCTGCTGATCTTATATGTAAAACATTTGTGATATGGTCCTTAAATCCCAAGCAATTATCTAATACGACACCCAAGAAGTTAACGGAATTACATAATTGAATAAGTTTATTATTAATATAAATGGGAATATTATCGTTATTAATTAAAGGACCGTTATTGCTAGCTATATCGGAAATTTTGGAAATTTTAGATCCTATATTATATTTAGTTTTTCGAAAATAAACACATTTAGTTTTGTCAACATTCAGGGACAATTTATTTGCTTTTAACCAGTCAGATATATTCTTAAGCTCATTATTTAGAACGCGGACAGTAATATTCAAATCTTTAGATGAAAAAAATATACTAGTGTCATCAGCAAATTGATAGAAGGTTAATAAGTTAGAAGATTTACAAAGATCATTAATGTATAAAAGAAATAGCAGGGGGCCCAGTACTGATCCCTGAGGTACCCCAATAAAGACATTTAACGAAGAAGACAAAACACCGTGGATATTGAACTCTGTTTGAAAGATAGTCCCTAAACCAGTCTAATGCAATCCCTCGTATTCCACATTGTTGTAGTTTAAATAAAAGTATCGAGTGATCCATAGAATCAAATGCTTTAGATAAGTCTAAGAAAATCCCTATTATATGTTCGTTAGCTTGAAATGAATCTAATATTTTTTGTTGGACTTTTAAAAGAACATGTTCACAGGAATAGCTGGGTCTAAATCCATATTGAGTGTCACTTAAAATATCGTTGATATTTAAAAATTTATATAACCGATTATAGATCAGTCGTTCAAGTAATTTAGAAAAACATGGTAAGAGGGATATGGGTCTATAGTTTACAAATTTGCCGGGATCGTCTTTCTTAAAAACAGGGATTACTTTAGATTCTTTGAGTTTTAAGGGTACTTTACCAGATACAATGGAAAGATTAAATACATGAACTAACGGCAATACATATAAAAAAGGGGTACGTATCGTTGTAAAAGGGTAATTATCAGAGGTGAAAAGGGACACTGACCATATATGTAAAGAGGCACTTGTGAGAATGAAAAGGGGCACTTATAAAAAGGGAAATATGCATTTGTTGAAAGAAAAGGGGCACCGATCAGTTTTTAATAGGAGCATCTATCGGAGGTGAAAGGGGGCTTTTACGAGAAGAGGAAGGGGCCCTCATTAGAAAAAAAAGAGGCACATGTTAAAATAAAAGGGGCATTTATTAGAGATGAAAAGAGCACTTATCAGGAGGGGAAGGGGCACTTGTCAAAGTAAAACGAGTATCTCTCAGAATTGAATAGGGTAATTTACAAAAGGGTGAAAAAGGTGAAAAGGGGCACTTTTGAGAATGAAAAGGCGCATTTATGAGGAGGGGAAGGGCCTTTTGTAATGGGGGCACTTGTCATAAGGAAAAGGGGCACAATCTTGTGAAAATATAAGATGCGCTTATCCGAGTTAAAAAGCGGTAGTTATTAAAAGGGGAGGGGCACTTCTACAAAGGAAAAAGGGCACTTGTCAAAGCAAGAGGGGCACCTCTCAGATGTAAATAGGGCAATTATCAAAAGTGAAGGGGGTGCTTATCAAAAGTGAAAAGGGGCGCTTCTCGTACCTGAAAAGAGCACTTACTAGAGATTAAAAAGGCACTTATGAATATAAGAACGAAAAATGGACACTTATTGCAAAAAAAAATAGGAACTTGTCGAAGGAAAAGGGGTAGGTGTCAAAATAAAAGGGGCACTTGTCAGAGGTGGAAAGGGGGAAGGAGCATCTAAAAAAAAAGTAAAAGGGGCACATTTCCTATGTAAAAAGGGGTACTTCTTACAAAGTTAAGGGGCACTTTTAGGGAACTTGAAAAAGTGGGTGGACTGTGCCCCCCTGCCCCCCCCCCCGGAGCGCCATCTCTGCACCCCTCCCCCCCCCACGGGAGATAGATTTCCGTCTTGATATATGATGTGACAAACCAAGCGGCCTTTAATCTCTGAGAAATAATGAATGCTAATTATGATAATTTATGAAGACTTTAAAAAAAAAATCCTATTCGATAGTATAGTAAATTCCACGCTTAGTTAAAAAATGGTGTGATATTTTATTATTTTAATTTGATCATAAACGACTGATGTGAAAGACTAGTCAACGCATCCTTTCGAGAAAAGACCCCCCCCCCCCCGCTTATCCCGAGAGGGTGTGTGAAGACGGTACTCCGTTCTCAACGCACCCTTTCGAGAAAAGCAGGGGGGCTTTTCTCGAATGGGTGCGTTGAACTCACCCCACCGCGCCGCACCGGTTACGTAAATTTGGTTCTAAATATATCTATACCGTATTTTTTTTTCTTCATAGTATAACACCTATTAATCATAAAATACTAATTATCAACCCTACAAAGACAGAAGAAATTACCATGGAGTAATGAAGACCGGAATGAAAAAAAAAAGAGGAGTGAGAATAGTAAAAGTATAAGATATCAAAATTAAATAATGAAGAGGAATACAGAAGCAGAAGCGAGAAAAACAAGTGGCATAAAAACCGATTAGAAAGAGGCAGTTGACTATATGTTACCTCCTTGAGCAGCGTCATCTCCGGCTACCACTCCCGTGGCGGCTACCACTTCAGCGGAAGCTGTGAAAAGAGATCAAGTAGACCAAGTATTACTTCATTACTTAATAATTTGTTTTGATGAATTTATATGTGCACGTTCATACCTTAATGTACGATTTACATATACATTTTTAATCCATGAGAGGATCGAGAAAAATATACACATACTCCGGTTTCCGAAAGGTAGAAACGTAAGATATTTTTTGACAGTTTGCTAAGTCAGATTCTGCGATAGCTTTTCATGGACTGCAACCAAAGTCAAAATTAGAATTTAATGAGGAACGAGTCTTTATTTTTGTGAGCGGTTTTTTGTTCGTTCCGAATGACCCTATTTTAATTCTGCTTACCCTGCTAACAATATTAAACAAGGACAATTCGGCTGTGAATACTGCAGACATGATTTTAAGGCTTATAGGCCGGCTCACACTATGACGAATCAGGGGGGGGGGGGGTACCGCAAGCTACGTTAAGCTGCAAATTGCAATACTGAATTTTCTGCCAATCATCGTGTGTTACTTTCAATTGTCGCTGACGAATCCGATAGCGACCGTAGACGGCTGAAATTATGAGTCGCGTCCATCGGCAAATTTATATTAAGTTAAACATTTTGTGGCGGCAAAAAAATCGTTGTGATTCCGTTCAGATTTCGTTGGAGACCGCAACCCTCATTTCCTTGACGTTTCCATTCCGTGCGATTCCGTCTCTGAGGTCGTCACAATTTCGGTTCGTAGTCGTTGTCGTTGTTGTTGTCAACGACCATTGACGGCAAAACAACGTGACGTTACGTGACGTCACGTGACGTCACGTCTCCAACCCTGACGACACATTGCGCGGAAAGTAACACAATCGTAACGACCTTGGTGTGACGATGGATTGCGAATTTTGGTCAGAGGGTAACGGTTGATAACGGGTCGTTTGCGAGTACCTGCGGCATTGCAACGGTGGTCTGCGATGGGTTACGATTTTGCAACGATGGTTCACGGTTTTAAACTTTTAGTGCGATTGTTCACGTTTTGTGACGTCAGTGACCCGCAAACACCCGTCTAGACATCGTCACTCGCCGCCCAGACAACGTCCGATTTTGGTCGCTTGACTCCGTTCCCTGCCGCAGCCATTCGTCCCTTGCCATCGTGTTGTTGCTGAAAGCAGTCCCCACCCGTCAGCGAATCTTGGTTTTCCCCTTTTGCCGTCGCTTTACCGCCAACATTTTGTGATTTTCACGTCCGTCGTCTTTCGCGGGGTCTTTGCCGCTACTATGTAAGCCGGCCTTTAACACCGATGCATGTCCAAAACATATCTAACTCTATGTTTATGTTGAAATCAAAATGTTGTGATTATTTCAAGTTTGCATCATGGTAATCTGACACTACCTATTTTTCTTTTTAATAAGAGCCACTTCCCCCTTCTCATAAATGATACGTGCCCCTTTTCCTTTCTAACTATCTCCTCTTTATAAATGCCCCTTTTCACCTCTTATAAAATGCCTTTATCAAAATCTGATAGATGCCCCTAATTTTCCGTCGACAAATACCCATTTCCCATATTCATAAGTGTCTTTCTTTCATACCTGGTGAGGGCTTCTTTTTAGATGTAAGAAGTGCTCCATTTTCATCTCTGATAATTACCCTTTGAACTTTGACACATGCTCCTTGTCTTTTCTAATAAATGTCTTATCCCTTTAGACAATACCCTTTCCCTCTCATCATTAAAAATGCCCCTATTATACATGTACGTACATCCAGTACGATTTCGTCAAGATTTTTATTTATTTATTAGGTGATACCTACCTCCGTATCACCTCTTGATTTTGTCAAGATTTTTCTTATTCTTCTATGACTTTTTTCGCAGGATATCTCAAGTATTGATTAAGCCATTGCCATGAAACTTGGCCTCGAGATAGATCCTAGTCCAACTGCGTGACTCAGAGACGCCTGGGCATCGTGACGTCATCATGACGTTATCATGTGAAATGTCATTAATGGTGGTTTCTCAGCCATGCAATATTAATTCAATTTAAATTTGGCATCAATGATGCTCGTGTCAAGGGTCAGATTTAAAACCCACGCACACGCGTCTGCCACTTTAAACTCGCGCGTAGAAGAGCGTCATCAAAAAATGTTCGAAACCCCAAACCAAGTAATTTTCTATATGTCGTTTTCAGCGTTACAAAAATGTTATTTTTTGCATATCTTGGATTCCTGATACTTTCCTCAAAGATTCCTTGCAATTTTAGTCATTTTTTTACTCATAATAATGGAATACACATGCGTCAAATATAAAAATACGCGGGTGCGCACGTTTGCAAAATGTGATAAAATCATGCTTAGGCCTATGCTTAATTGGCCATAACCTCTTAATCGATTTAAATATGGTGTAGCTGAGGTTATGCCCCCAATTAAAGTGGCATTTGTTTTTCATTTTGATAACGGGATCATGATAAAAAAAAATTGGCAAAGACGACGAGTCTAAATTAAAAGTTTTTACATAATAATAATAATAATAATAATAATAATAATAATAATAATGCACATGCACTTGTGATGACGAGCTAAAATGATCGCGGTACAATTTAAATGTCCCCTCTGGTGTTTTAATGTCATGGCGTGTCATGGGTGTCATGGCAAATTGTACCAATACAAGTGAACCAGCGCCCATTGAAGCGTATACAAATTGGATCAAATATTTTGTGTACATGTAGTTCCAAAGGGAGTTAAATTCATCATGTGTTTATGGTGGGTGTAATTTTGTTTAGGATAAATCCATTCTATTAATATACCGTGAATGGGTACCCTCCCATTCTGGACTGTCTGACAATAAGACAGTTGATATAAGCTGAAACTAATAGAACATGACGGGTAGAGCATTTCATGAAATAAGATGAATTTGTGAATATGCATTCTTATGTCAATTAGGGTCATATGTGTAACTGGTTATTTTACAGGTTGAATTGTCATATTGTTTCAATCTATCTTCGTTCATACTACCGTGTGAGTCAAAAAAGTTTACACCTAGAAAATTGCTAATTATTTTAAAACAATCATCTATGAACAGTAAATTAGTATACATCAATATAGAACAGTATTTTATCCCAAATCATTTGGTATCATTTTTGTGTGGTATGTGATCACGCTTGGATGAACAGGAGACATTATTTGCGAGAGTGCAAAAATCATGTATTATGTTGGGATTAGCGTAGTGAGAGAATGAGTTGAATGTATCAAATGAAATGTATTGCATATGAGTTTTGCAGAAGCAAAGTCACACACAGAAACACACACGCGCACAAAATGTTCGTTGATATTTGATATTCGATATTTGATATGTGTGGCATGATTAATTTTGTTAGGGATGTTATTTGGATCTGCAAAGACCGAATTAATACCCAAATCCCAATTGTTTTTTTCAAACATCACGTAAGCAACTTTGGCGCATGTCGATTTTTGCACTTTCGCAAACAATGCCTCTTGTGCATCTTAGCATGAACACATACCACAAACAAATGATAACAAAGGATTTGGGATAAAACACTCTTTCATAAGATGTATATTAATTAACTTTTCATAGATGATTTTTGAATAATGAGTAATTTTCCAGGTGTAAACTTTTTTTCTGACTCACACTGTATTTAGTAGCGCTTAATTCAATGTCTCTAAGCGCTTTACAAATATTCGCCGGCTTCACTAAACAACTTTCTTTCAACTAATATAAAAGATGAATACATTTTACGAATTAATTTTCACCTTTACAAGAATTCCACCTTCGCTTTAAACCAAATTACCTTGATCTTGTGGAGAAGCTTCCTGTCTTCCGTCTTCCAATCGAAATATGAAATGGCATTCCAGTTTCCCATTTCGTTCTACTATAAGTGACACTGCAACACTATCTGACTGGTTGGTGAAGTCCAATTCAAAGGGCACACAGATCCTTTCTCCACTCATTAGTTTGTCAAAGGAGACAACCTTTAAAAATACAAAAATTGAACGGAGGTCATCAAACAAACTTCCCTTTTATTTTTTCAATATCAATCATCTGCTCTAAAAGTATGTATTAGATAAATTGTCCTGAATTTAGCTCTAGCAATCATTATGAGCAACTCTAGCATTGGGAAGAGTACGTAAGTCCTACTATTCAAAATTCAGAATCAGATTATGATTATGTTATTGATCCATGAACCATGAATGTCAACCCTGCGGCAAGATTGATGACCCAAACTGAGAAAACAATGCTCTCACATAACCCGTCTTAAAGAAAACCCTACATGGCTCCTATTTCAATCAAGCATAATTTCAAAATACTGTTAATGGCCTATCAGTGCTTTAATTATTAGTTCTTGGTACCATATGCACCCTCGATAAATCTGAAATCAGCTCACCAAAAAGCCCTTGCAATGTTTAGTTGTTCTGCCCCAGATTTTATTGGAGTGGTCATATATTTATGCTGCCCCTGCACTTTGGAACACAATCCCATCTCATATGAAGGAAGCATTCACAAGTTATGAGTTTAAAACTCTCCTCCAAAGGATTTGTTTGAAAAGTGTTTTGACTGAGCTACAGAAGGGCAATTACAGCACCTATTTTCCTTTCATATCTTCTCTTCCTAAGCGAATAAAGATGCTATGGCAGTGATATACACCATATAAGCACTGTATCATTATGACTTATTGATAGTAGTACATGTAGTATTATTGTCATTATTATTAAAAATAACAATATTATTGTTATTATCATTATTATTATTATCGTTATTTTTATCATTATTATCATCGTTGTTATTATTATTATCATTATTATCATTATTACTAGTAGTAGTAATCTCTGGATGGACATACTGGCAGATGTACCTATAGTGATATGCACCAAGACAAGATAACTATTATCTAGATAGTGTCTCGCCCAACTTTGGCCAAATTTCATGAAATCACTAAAGAGCATCCCTGACCCAAATTTGGTTGCAATGTGAACAATGTCAATACGCGAAGTTATAAGTCATAAGAGAGTCTTGTTGGTAAAATGTTTGACTCATTCATCTAGAATGATTCTTGACATGAGAACATAACCTCCAACATCAATATATCATGAGGGTCCTCCAGATGTACGTATGATCCTCGTTTGGGTGCATGGGTGTAATTGGAGGGACAGAAGCAAAACTACTTGTCACAAGAGAATGTTGCAGGTTGCAGACATGACCCCCAAATGACCTTTGACTTTGGCATGTGACCTTCAGCATCACCACAATACGACTCTGACTCAAGTTTGGTTAGAATAGAATTCATGGTTGCTAAGTTTTTCGTAACAATTGGAAAGTTTTGCAGGTTAACTTTTAGTATTTGTGACAGATGATGGACAACAGGTGGGCAATTAAGACAATAAAGGATAATCGTTCAGTGCATGAAAAGAGTTTGCAATAATTTCTTTCAATGTCCACATCATAGAAAAGCTGGAAAACCAATATGAAAAACACAGTAATTATCTACAATGTTCTCTTTTGTAGAGAAAGAAGCTTTGATTTAAAAAGAGTTCAACAATGATTATCAAATTGGACATCATCTCAGATGCTTAAATCTTCAACAAAACTTAAAATATAAGGAATGTACTGTATACCGGTATGTTCCGACCATGCATGGGTTCAACGCTCCTATTCAATATGAGAGGTAACCAGCATCCTTTAAAGCCCCACTGTCCTTCTTGTAGCTACTTGCTCCCTCTACATAGAAAACTTCCCCAATCGATGCCTGTTGGTCCCCCATGATCCTCTTTTTCTTATGTTAAATGAGAGCCGAGTTAATGAGATAGCCATCTGTCACAGTGACCTCGCTGGCTCGCTGTGTGGTCTAATCCCTTCTGGCTGAAGTAGTAAAGCCTCCCTTTAAAAAAAACAATTGAACTTACAGCAGGTCCTCCAATTACTGTATTCCTTAGGTAACAGGTCATTTTGAGAGCACCTTCTGCTGTCCGAATAGAGAGCCGTTGTTCCATATTGGCAGGTATGAAATATTCCCTTTCTTCGAGTTTTACCAACTGTTACCAAAGAAAAGAAAACAGATATATACAGGGCTGCATACATATATCAGGCAAGAGAATATCTATATATTAACATATCTCAATGAGCAGTAAAAAAGAACTAAACACATCAATTTAATGATTTAACGTACTTGTAAATGAAATCTTCTTCACAGTTGAAGAACAAGTTTTCATATCTAGTTTTGTTGTACGGCGGCATAGTAACAAATTCAGGCACACTTGTACAATTTTGTCTAAAAGCGCTGAACTTGCAACAGTTATTAAATCATAAAAAGTGAACAATAATATATTAGATATGGAAACACTCTTCAAAAGATACTTAATTAGGTAATTTTCTTTAATAATTTGCTATTGTAAATATAAAGGGGTAGTCCACCCTGATATTAAGTTTGTTGTAATAGGGGCAGAAAATAATAGGAACAGGTCAGTAAAAGTTTGAGCAAATTCCGATTAAAAATAAGAAAGTTATAAAGTTTTTAAGTTGTGATCAATCAAACACAAATTGGCAACTCTGTAACGTATTTTGCGAGCTCCCCTCCCATTTGCTCTGTACCTAAAACTTCATTAACTTTCATTTTTTGTTGTTATTAATGATGAAACAGATTTGTATCTATACAGGGGTTGTATAGAAACATCAAAGCAGGAGAAGAGCTTCTAGCGGAGAAGTATATACATGTTCATTGAGTGCATTGTTGTAATGTAAATAATTAGTAATTTTAGTAAAGTTCACATGCTGCATCAAAACAGTGGTATAAGTTAAGTAACAATGCCTTATATACAATAGGAACTTGAGAGAAGGGGAAATGAGAATCACATATTCCTCAAAAAATAAAGCCCTATAGAGAAAATTGGATTGCTTTTCTTCTGTGATGAATCAAATCAATTTGAAATCTCAAACATCATAAAATCAAAAGATAACACATGCATGATTACTTTTTAGAGACTTCGGTGGTAAGCGCTTTATAAGCACCGTATTTTTAATTATTATTATTATCATTGCATGTGTTAATATATCAGACAAAAATTGATTCAAAAGGAAATGTGGCCCAAATTTTAGCTTGCACAACTATACGGGTGTTAACAGAACAGTCTGCCTTGCATTATGAATTTGTAAATGCTCCACCATGATCGGTAAATAACCATTTGCATTTCGATAATATAACAAGGGTTCACAAACTACTTCCTAACTTCACAAAAACGAGCCCCCTCCCCTCCTAACGATTGCGCAATTAAGAATGTGCCCTGTATACCATAACAGATGATTATGATGTATTTTACCATGTTAAAGATAAACTTGAGTTCTGGTTTAAAAAATATAAAAAAATTCTCACAGAATCAAACGAAACTTACATGTTCAAGATTACAAATAAATGTCATTTGCCATACAATTTGGTAAACAAATTATATTGGCTGAGTAATGAGCATAGAAAGATAAGGAAATCAAGGTAGATTGTTAGTAGGCCCGACACCATTTTGTGTAATCCCATATACATCTTTCTGTGTACAGTGCTTGTTACTCTACCGAGACTGGGCCAAATTTATTATGATTTTGATGACTCCATAACCTTGCAGTACACACCAATACTTACATGCTACATGATTAACTTTTTCTGATCCATTCCACACCTTTCCTTTACAATGCTATCGCATGAACAGAACTCAACTTTATCTTTAACTCTACATATTAATCTCTGTATAATTTGTCCATTCATGGTACTTATGAAAGTACCTCTGTATTTCCTATCACTTATTAATACCGGCACACGGTGTCATTTTACCATAATTATCTGGCACAAAACGGTTGATCCACAAATTTGCACAAAAGATCCTTTACAGTTATAATTAATACACATGGTTGGCCTTTATGGGGTTTTATAATTTTTTTGTTTCTTCATGATACTCTAGATCTTAAATGTTCATACTTGATAATTAGGAAAATCTAAGGATCGAATGTCCAAACGCAGTGGCATACAGGGATGGGTCGCACCCCCGTCATCGATTGGTGATAAATGAAAATGAGAGAAGAGAGAGGGGGAAGGCAACAAAGGAAGATGATCATGATACCTCGCTCGACTTTCTTCTTTCACATTTCATATATACCGAGTAAATGCCCCCCCCCCCCCCCTCGGCAGAACATCAGTGCTCCTTAACTGAATGGATCCATGCTGCTCCACTGTTCAAATATGAAAGAATAGTGTGCCAACATTTAACTCTTCCCAGTTCAAACTAGCTGTACAATTCTGGACAAGATTGCATGTTCTGAATGTAGGAACGCTACCGATCTCTGCGGCCGCTTACCACTTAACGGTATGGATAAACATTCTATGGACAATATTTTACTCACCAAGTTGTAAAGGCATATTTGATATTAAATGGGAAATTACAACATAACACAATTTGTGGAAGTGCATCCATATCTGATAATTTTCTGTATGGGTAAGTTCTTACGAGCGAAAAATCTGGTGGGTTTATACAAAAGTGCAGTTTTCTGCTATGCCACCATTCTTTTCAGTCTGAGCAAATGAATAGAAAATAACCTTGCCAATAATGGATATCTATGGCAGTGTTTTTCAACCGGCACCCACCAGACATCGCTGAGGGTGCAACACGAGCAATTTGGTTAAATTGGAAACATATTTGGAATAACATCAACTGCGTGAAATTAAAGTATCAGAAACACTTAGCTGCCAAACATATACTTGTATCATCCTGTGTATTTTGATAAGGAAATAAAAATTTAAAAATAAAATAGTGCCCTTATAAATTCAGAAACAGGATGGTTTTAGTCAGCAAGGTGCAAGGAGTACCCCATTCGTGTGGCAAGCTACCGGAATATTGTCATATTTAGGCAGCAAGGTGCCTAAATAACTTTTTATCTAGTGTGATTTTTTAGTCAAAATGAAACTTTTAGTAAAAAGTTTTAAAAATCTATTCTTTTTTCAATAACATTTTTATTTTTGCCATCAGCAAATAAAGCATATGGGCTTCATATGGACCTCAGAGTGAAAATTCAGGGCTGGAAAAAACTGCCTTGCTGTTGGTGTTATTCCATTTGTTCTTTTGTTAGCTGAGTCTCAAGTATGGGAGAATGTTTCTTAAAACATCGGGTCGGGTAAAATCCAAAAATAAGTTGAGTCCTGTTGATGTGCAGGGCTGCATACTGTTAATATTTTGTTATTCAAACATCTTAATATATTTTTTAAAATTTAAAAAAAAAAAATTCTCAGACCTGCTAAGCTCCACCCCAAAATAAATGCTCCAGATCTCATTCATCTTCTGACATCATCTGTCAATAATTAATGAGCTAACAACAGACAGTGGTATGTAACTTCCCGCAGCTCAGTACATGTTCACAAAAGAATTGCATGCTTTCATACAATACCTCCATATTACCTCTCTTTTCCAGCACGTCTGACATAGCAACTCCTATGTTGGGATTGTATGGTCAGGTGGTCAGCTCTGGTGAAGCAACATACTACTATCTCTTGTTAAAAAAAGATTTTAAAAAATATTTGAACATCATGAAATATATTTGAATAACAAAAGATGAGTTGTATGCAGCCCTGCACATCAACAGGAATCAACTTGTATTTGAATGTCACCTCACCTTTAGGCCTGAGTGGGAAATAGTCTCCAACAATTTTACCCTGTGCCTCGGTCTGCTGTACCCCAACTACAATGCCTTGTTAATATTTTGTTAACATAGTATTTTTATGTTGATTAATTAATACTCACTCGAATACTTATGGTATTTTCAGAAAATTATGTCAAACAGATTCTGATCTTTGCCACGAGTCCATGACTGTTGACATTTCAGTGCATTGTGTCAGGTTCCTAAACTTCCAAAACAACTGCTGCAACAATAATTTTCCTCGCTTACCTCGCTGTTCCCTTTGATGTCGTCATAGAGGTGCGCATGTAAGATGACAGATCTCGTCTGCAAAGCTAAGTTCTTTTCTTTAAACGGCCGACAGCACATCCTCTTTTCTCGGAAGAAGAATTGACTGATGATGAACTTAACCTTCGCCCATGAAAAGTGGTTCATCTTCAGTATGAGTACATCTTTCTTGATGATGACGCTAGGTGTTCCAGACCTCGACAACACGATTCGTTCTTTAACAACGGCATCTATCAATAATTTGGCGGTAAAAATCAGGAAAAGTATGGACTCATTGAAGCGAGGGATAAACATGATTGTTAAAGTAATTTAAAAGCAAGCAAATGCAAAGACCTCTGCATAGAGTCATTGTGGGTTCTTTCGTATAAGCAAAGTTAACCTATTATATACACATTGTTAACTCCAACATTTTGGCAATTCCCCCTTCAGACCAATCTCTCAAGAAATGACCAGGACGTCTCGTTATCAACTGCTAAAACACAGAAATCAGTCAGGGTCAATATTCTGAAATCTAATGTTAATCCCCACAGTTGACATACCTCTAAATCGGTAATCTGAAAACTACGTTAAGGATTTATTATCTTCTTTGAGGTACCGCCCTGACAATTCCATTTAATATAATCTCTTATCATAATAACTCTTAAAAAGTACTCTCAGCAAATCGTGTTTCATATTCAATTGGGCATATAGCACAAATGTATTGAGCATCGACAATTCATACGCAGTACCTATTTCCCGGTTTGTGTCACAAGGGTGCTAATAAAAAGCTACTTTATTCCTTTGTTTTCTGTTTCCTATGTTTGTTTTATGTTCAAAAGTTGTAGATTTGCAGAGTCATATTGCAGTTTTCAAAGAAAGCCACAAATGAAAAAGTCAGGACAGAAAACCTCAACTTCATTTTACATCATTTTCAAAGAGTTTTCAGAATACCAGAACTATGTCAACTATCATGCTAAAACCGCCAACAGGTATGAGTATGCGCACTGCATCTTCCCGCCAAAAACTCTGTTAACACAGTTTTGGACTTTAAACGATGTCATTACTTTCTCCAGTTGAATATGACATCCTTCAAATTTACAGTGTGAAGACCTCAATAACGTTTGGAGTCACTCACGACCAAAAGTGTCAAACGTTCTTATAATGCACGTAGTTTGGATGCATCAGGGTAGAAGGAGAGTACAGTGAATATTATTAACATCAGACAGGGTTGTGTTATGTCGCCGGACCTGTTAAATATGTATAGTGAAATCATTTAAGAGAATTGGAGAATGAAAATGGGATACGAGTGCATGGGTAGCCATTCAATCACAAATATTTGATATGCTGATGACACTGTTTTATTATCTGATCAGAGAAAGATCTCCAGAGACTCCTGGATGTAGTTGTAAAGGAAAGTTAGAGAATGGGACTAGAGATCAACTATACAAAGACAAAATGCCTGGAAGTTTCAAAGAAGAGCAGTCCAATATGTAACTGGAAACTGAAAGAACAGGTTATTAAACAAGTCTCCTCTTTTTAACTACCTCGGCAGCATGATCACCGAGGATGCCAGATGTGAGACAGAGATCAAAGAAGGATAGCTCTCGCTAAATTTGCATTTTCTAAGTTAGGCAAATTCTGACAAATCGCACAATGGGTATGACGACCAGAATAAGAGTACTGAATTGTTACATCTACCCAGTACTTATGTATGGTAGTGAAACATGGACTATAGCCTCTGATACTAAAAAGCGTTTGGAAAGTTGCGATATGTGGTTTTTAAGAAGAATGATAAGGATCCCTCGGACTGACAAAGTGATGAGGAAGTTCTTATAGAAGAGCTGCAGTGCAAAGGAAAATGATATGTGAGATGTTGATTAGGCAGTTGAAGTTCACTCACAGTCATTACACGTAAAGAAGGCCTAGAGAATCTTGCTTGGACAGGGAAAATTGTGGGAAGGAGGAGTAGGGGAAGAAGGAGGATACTTTGGGTGGACAGTCTGCAGAAATTGTTGGAAGAGCTAGGAGTGAAACACCTGCTGGGAGTGGTGCTAATATAGAAGGCTAGGAGCCGAGGGTTATGGAACAGCATGTTCGCCAAAGTCAATCGATATGGCACTTAGAGAGAGAGAGAGACTTTTAATGGAAATGTAGTTATATTTTTTTATTTACCTGTTGCTAAGTGTTTCATTTATGTGCGAAAAAGTTTTGACATTGATGACATTCATCAAGTACCATTGCTACATAATGTGCATACATGTTAAGATGTGCTTACCGGGTGAGTATTCTCCCTCTCCTGTGTATAAGACTGCCTCCACACTGGAGTATCGTGAACTCACAGCACAGTGAGGTATTGTGTAAGTTACCGGTAACTTCAGAACTAAGTCATCAGGGGCTAAACACTGTACACCAAAGCATACTGACATCTCGGCTTTGCTGTTTCCAAGATTTGGAGTATCTGTCAGGACACGAAGAGAAATGTCCTGTGGCGCTTTGCCGTCAATTGCACCGGGAGGGATATCAAGTTCAATCCCAAAGGAATCTAGCTGAAGTTTGTCACCTTCAACTCCAACTTTCTTACAACATTCCATCTTGATTGGTTTGACGTTTACTACAATTGAAAATCAGAAGAGATATTTCCATTAAATCCTTTCTGTAAACTCTCTGCAAACAATTGAATACTTTAATTTTACTTAATTGTACAAACATGACAATGACATATTAAGTGAGCTGAGCATGATTTCCATGGGACATACATAAGGATTTTGATATTGCCATTGAGTTGAATTTTAGAAAGAAGTTGCGATCGTGTAACAAATATGTCAAGTAAATTCATAAAGAAATTAAATAGGTGGACAATTATTGTTTTTTTTACTTTTGAGCGCTTTTTTGTACTTCGATTTTTATCTTATTCCTGATTTCACCGTTAACCCGTCCAGGTCATACATGACTTTAAAGTTATTTCCCGATGTCGATTGGCTCACTAGTTGCTCGAATGTTTCTGAGTAATTAGACTTGTTGAAGTCTTAGAGGTTATTAGCATGTCCGAGATCAAAGCCAACGGCTTCACAAAACAGGTCGAAATGATTTTTACCGAGTTCGTCTGACAAGTTCTTGGTATGTTCGTTCATCTCCTTCTCTGCATCTACAATGAAATAAAGGAAACTTAGTAAATCTATCATTTCCAGAGGCCGTAGTGACCAAATCAATTTAAATGCGTCAAGATTTATGATCTTGGTGAACTCTAATGATGATGAACTCAATTTTCTAAATAAATAACTCAATGACCACTTTCACGACCACATGTAGTGGTGAAGAGCACTTTACCTCTTTTTCTCACTGTAGGTGCTTGTTCAGCTTGGTTCCTGACCTGTTCGCCTCTTTGAACAATGTCACCAGTATCCTCTTCTGAAGTAGCAGACGTGCTCGGGGAATCTTCAAAAGGAATTAACATATTAATTGATTCATGTACTATAAATATGCATTTCGGATCCATGAAACGAACAAGAACAATTATACATACTCCGATTTCCGATAAATTAACCCATTCCTACTGGAACCTGGTGGCTCCTGTATTAAAGCCTATGGAATTGTGTTGTCATGTTGCCAGGTCAGATTCTACGAAATCTCTTCATAGACTGCAACCAAAGTCAAAATTACGCTTCTTAGAGGATTGAGTCTTTATTTCTGTGTATGAATTCCGTTCTGAATGACCCTATTTTACTTCTGCTCACCCAGCTCACAATATCAGACAAGGACAATTTGGTTGTGTATATATGCATACATGATTTCAAGTTTAAAGGCGTATCAAACACCAATGCATGTCCAAAACATATTTAACTTTATATTTAAAAATATGCTGACATCACAATTTCAGATTATTTCAATATTACATATATATATATTGAAAAAAAGAATAAATCCTATTATGTATGACTGAATTTTACCCTTTACATAATGTTTCTTCACAATGGAACGGAGTCCACCGACCTCTGCTGCGACCAGGGCATCTTCGAGTTGTTCCCTGATGACACCATGCCTCCGATCCCATTGATATAGAAGGTCTCTCAGAGCCTCGTTGTAATCACAAAGATATTTTGTCAGCGTGATTTGAGCTTTACTGTCGTCAAAGCCCATTTCATGGCAAAACGTTGAATACCTTTCACGTGGAATTTCTTTTGAGAGTTCGTAGAAGAGAGCAACCTTGTCTACCAGTATGTCACCAGTATCCTCTTCTGAAGTATCAGACGTGCTCGGGGAATCTTCAAAAGGAATTAACATATTAATTGATTCATGTACTATAAATATGCGTTTCTGATCCATGAAACGAACAAGGACAATTATACATACTCCGATTTCCGATAAATTAACCCATTCCTACTGGAACCTGGTGGCTCCTGTATTAAAGCCTATGGAATTGTGTTGTCATGTTGCCAGGTCAGATTCTACGAAATCTCTTCATAGACTGCAACCAAAGTCAAAATTACGCTTCTTAGAGGATTGAGTCTTTATTTCTGTGTATGAATTCCGTTCTGAATGACCCTATTTTACTTCTGCTCACCCAGCTCACAATATCAGACAAGGACAATTTGGTTGTGTATATATGCATACATGATTTCAAGCTTAAAGGCGTATCAAACACCAATGCATGTCCAAAACATATTTAACTTTATATTCAAAAATATGCTGACATCACAATTTCAGATTATTTCAATATTATATATATATATATATATACAGTGCGTCCCAGAAAAAACGAAACCGAGAAGTATCGATGTTTTATCATAACTTAATCACAACCATAATTAATGAATGATACATATTTGGAAAGCTTAGAGTCTCCTCTTTCAGTTGATGCTACTCAGATGATGCATATTTCACGCATAAGTGATTAAAAGCAATTTGAAGGAAGGAAACCAAAAAGACATTTGGCGGGCGGTATCTGAATTTCGAAGAAAAATTCACATTTCTAGAAAGTTGAGTTTCTGCCCTTTCATATGACACCTCAATCAGGAAAAATGAGCGAGGAATGACAAAGTTCTGTTTGTTTAAAGTAGTGCTTGCATTTCCATAATTTTATTAAACGAATTCGTTTTCACTGGCTGCCTGCCGTATCAATAAACGTAATTAACAAAAGACTTAACTCCATTTCGTTGACAATCAGCCGTAGACGAGAGTCTTCATGCATGGCTGATTGTCAACGAAACGGAGTTAAGTCTTTTGTCAAATCTGCTTTTTGCTACGGCAGGCACCCAGTGAAAACGAATTCGTTTGTTAAAAGTATGAAAATGTAAGGGCTACTTTAAACGAACAGAACTTTGTTATTCCTGGCTCATTTTTCCTGATTGAGGTGTCATATGAAAGGGCAGAAACTCAACTTTCTAGAAATGTTAATTTTTCTTCGAAATTCAGATACCGCCCGCCAAATGTCTGTCTGTCCTATAAACTCACATATTATTTCGTCTGTCATCCCTCTTGCTTTCCAATACACACAAATAACACAATAATACACTTCAATTATTGTGGAATAGCCTGACAACGACTACTGAGAGCCGGCCGTTTATTCAGTATGAATGTTTAACAAACATTTCTTCTCGTTTCCTTCACTGGAAACCGGACCTATCATGGTCCAGGATAAAAAACCAGAGATAAAACTCAACGAGCATAAAAACTCTGGAAAACCTTATTCAAACACAGTCATGTAACAGTACATGACACAGCGCACTTTTATTGTAAATAAAAGTTGTCTCGTTGAAAGCTCAAGCTAGAATGATTCAATTACACACTAATTCATGCCACGCCCTGGTCTCCGTGGCAGAATTAGCTCGCACACCTGTACGAGCTGCCTATGCAAATTACATTCCATTGGGGCACAGCCCCGGACCCAACATAAGTATGCATTCATTAACGATACAAACAACATTTGTCTGCTATACAATCGTACCGCAGACAAATAATAGTCTGTCCTATAAACTCACATATTATTTCGTCTGTCATCCCTCTTGCTTTCCAATACACACAAATAACACAATAATACACTTCAATTATTGTGGAATAGCCTGACAACGACTAGAATTCAAAGAACGGGAGCAAAAGAGAACAGAAGAGAAATAAGCAATCTAAATTTAAGTCATGCCAAATAGACTCCTAGTTAAATATATTTTAACATTGTTGAATAATAATGGCAATTCTATAGCGCCGTCTATCGAGAAATCCTATTCGAGGCGCATTAATTATTACCCCGGCCTTACTCTTGCTGCCGTATATTACAGAGCCTCCAGCATCTCCAGGAACTAATTCATGCAAGGTATCCATTTACTTCACCTGGGTGTACTATAATGAAATCTGAAAGTTAGTACCCAACTGACAAACGAGTCCAATTTGGACTAAAACCACAAGCTTGCTCGTTTAAACTTGTTACCTTGTTTGAATACAACCGATTCTAAAGTCTTAGCATATGTTTCAGGAACTTGCCTTTCCCACTTAATACATATGCGTACAGAACACTGTCATTGAATAATTTGATTCATAACCATGACATTCTAGATCCGAAACGTTCTCTTTCAAGAAAAAGTTGAAATTCGAACAAAAGGTCGTTATAGTCAAATATGAACAGGCAAACCTGTGTACGAGACAAGACCTCGTTTTCTTTTGCCCTTCTTTTGATAATTTTTAAAATCATGTCCGTAAGGTGAAAACACCATCCATGCTAATAACATGTCATTAAATTCAATTGACACAACTCTTTGTTCCGGCAACACTTTGTTGGTGGTAAATAAAACAGCGACAACAAGAACGAGTGTTAAATCTGCACAAAACATATTCATCTATTGACAAAGAGAAACGATACATGTATGTATAAATCTACTGCTGTTACAAATCCTCACGAATAATTGAAGATTCCTTGTAAAATAAAAACACGAATTTCACTACCTACGTATATTTGCGGTCTTCTTTAAACCAGCTCTGTGGAAAAATATCTTTTGTAATTTCTCCCAATCAAAGCTTATGGAATAAATTTTATCACTTACATCCAAATGAATATCATGCATTTTGCGTACCTACGCTCACTTGCAGGTCAATCCAATTTTCGCCCAAGGCACAAACATGTTCTGAGAATGAACAAAGCAAAAATTATGCTTATCTTATATTTATTTAGCTGCACGACACTCTGTGCTATTTCTCAAATCTAACAGAAAAAGCCCTTTTCACAATTTCAAAGACTTAACGACCAATAATTTGTGCTCCAAACTATCGTCAACATTGCCATCTTTTGACTTCTCACTGCTCCTTCGCCCGTGCCTCTTCCAAAGCCTATTTGACACGGAAGCTCTGGCCTCGGCGGTAGCCCCTCCTGCTCTGAGGGAGTAGGCCCAAATTAAACTAGCCTCTTCCACGCATACCTTCCACAAACGAGCAACAACTGCCTCATATGCACTGGTATAACTTGACTGTTTGCTTTCTATGACAAACTCTTATTACCTTTGTTCCAATAAACTGGTCTGAATTGAATTTGTCAGATTTCTTGGAAATACCTTCCTTTGCCACATATGTTCTCGTAGAATTTCTACTGGACAATTAAGTACTTCAT